AAAACAAGAGGCAACAAGAAAGAAAATTAGAAGAATTTAGAAGTTTTAGAACTTCTAAACGACGAAAAAAGAAGAGAACAAAGGGATGATGAAGAAAAGTTAAAACTCAGAATTGTTTTATGTGTGTGAAAAACTCAAGTGAGAAACCAAGCAACCAAGTTGTAATTGAAAACTGAAACATTTAAGTTGAGTTTGGAAATTGTTGCATTTATAAATTTGCATTTTGGTTTTAGTTGAAGTGGCTTTAGAGACACTCACTTATTATTTATTTAGAGAGGCTTGAGGGAAGAGTATATTTAAATATTCCAGCCTGCATGATTGTTTTTAATCACTTAGGAAGACTGATAACTTTGTGGTGACATGAAAAACTTGAGTAACTTCTTGAGGAGGGAGGTTGTTGCATTGTTCTTTCTAACCACAAAGTTTCTTAGTTTTAATATTCAGGACAATAAACAAGCAAGATTTCCGAAGGGAAGGAGCATAGTAGGATAATTTTAGCTTGTTGGTTGGCAGGACTGTCCTGCAAGCCAACACCTTTTAAATCTAGGAGAAAAAGTTTCAATCGGGATATTGACACTGGAAGTCAGAAAATATGTTTTATCTTAAGTCATATCCTCAATGTGCAGATTAATGAAAGAATTTGAAGGCTATGGTGGTGTAGTATGATGCCATTTATATTCTGCAGTGAGTCGATGTGACGTAGGTAAAAGTAATTTCGTGCATTTTGTAAATTCTGTTCGATGACACTGTAACCACTTAGAACATTGCGCGATTCAATGAGGACATTGACCGGACTGTCCGGGGAGTATGTGACATTCGACCAGAATGGCCAAAATGCAGTCTCTGCAGAATTCGGTATTTTAGCAGCAAGCCTTCCGAATTGGCGATTTAGAACGGATAAGGACGTTATTTGGACGATTAGCCAAACGGTGAAGGCTAGAAGATTCTGGAATTCTAATTTTTAAAAATTCGAATTATGACGTCATATTTCTGAGAAACGTCAGAGACGGCCATTTTAGCTAAAATAGCAGAAAGAAACAGAACAACTTTTATCTGCGATTGCGAACAGTACGAAAATCGAGATTGGAAAACGACAACGAACTACAGAATAGCAGAGAACGCTCCGAGTTGCAACTATTGTGCTGCTACAATAGTTGCAAGGCCGTTGCCAACAACGGTGAAGGGTGAGAACCAGCCTTCCGGATTAGCAAGAAATCAAGAGTAAGGAGCTTGATTCGGCGGATTCAAGAATCCGGAAGGGTCTCGGGACGGAAACTTTTGTTAACTCACATAAACTTTTAGCATCCTGTCATGTCCTGACTTGAATTTAACTGATATTTTGATTAGTTTTGACAAGGATGAGGTGCTAGGAGTTGGGGGAAAGGGTTGATCCATCTTCGATGGAGATGATGATTTTTATCTACTGAACAAAAACAATAGTAATATGATAAGTAGTAGCCCTGTTTTTAGGAGTGACCTCGTGGTCTGGGGATACTGAGACCCAGCCATGAGCTCACTATTTTTGCATGTAATTCAGTTAATTTGAGCGTTCTGGTCGAAGCCGGAGAGCAGTAACGTTTTTGTCGACCCGATGTAGGAAAGACCACCGAAAAGTACTGGCTTGGTAGAGACGGTGAAAAGCATGCAAAGCTCTGTTTAGACGCTAGCCAGTCGTCTTAAGACTTAGTCTTGTTATCCGTCGATATGTATCTTCCGGGCGAATGTTACATTTCCCTCAACTCCTAGCTTCTCATTATCTGAAAATGAATCTGGATGTTAATTAAATTCAATTCAGGACATGAGCAGGTAGCTAAAAGTTTATATAAAACAGTTTGAGTCTTGGGCCCGAGACCCCTCCGGATTCTGCAATCCGGGGAAATAACGTCCATATTTCTTTTAGGAAGGCTGGACACGTCGTCCCAACGGTGCGTACCCACGGAGCCGCATTCCCGGATAGCCGAAAAAACTAAATACCTCCGGTTTTATTTAAATTAAATCAGAAAACTGTTCACTAAATTGAGGCGCCTTTTGATTGGACAAAAAACTTTGCAGCCTGTTATAGCTAACAAAATTCCGAACATTTTTAAGAGATTTCATTGGCTAATACTTTTACTCTCATTGAATTAATTAACAGCAAAAGTCCAACTATTGCAGGGATTTGACCCCTTCAACAACCAAAGCAGAGGAAATTTTAAAGGTGGGATTTTCAAAAAAGGGATTCGACCCCCCTAAATCCGCTTCAGAACCAAAGCAGGGGTGGATTTAGGGGGGGGGGGGGGGGGTTATGTGGGGTGGCGTTTGCTTCTCAGGATTCGAGGCGATTCGACTCCTTGCCGACATATTTGGCGCCAATATATTTATCAAAATTTTCCAAAAAGTGCCTAAAAACTCTTTTTTGGTCTGTTTTTTACAGCATTTGTCCCCCCTCGAGAAAATCCTAGATCCGCCCCTGCATTAACATTATAATCGTTTATAATTTCGGTTGGGGGCCCTTAATAGTTTTTTTGTTTGTCGGGAGGGGGGGCATGGTGGGGTAAATATGCGTAGGGGTTATGGGTAATTGGGAACAGGGGGAAGGGAGTGGGAAGGAAGGATGAACGGACTAAGCGTGTGTGTGTGTGTGTGTGGGGGGGGGGGGGGGCGTGGTGGGTAGAGAAAAAGGGTATTCGAAATCAGAAAACAATGTTTTTAAGTAAGTTTGTAGGATCTCTTCATAATCAGCATAATCGTTACAACTCGGAGCGGTTTCTGACAATTTCCAATTCTATCTAACGTTATTTCTTCGTAGTTGCTTCCACTGCAACTATTGTTGTTCTGTCTTTCTTCTGTTTTTTCTCCAAAATGGCCTTTTCAGCATTTCTCAGAAATGTGACGTCACAATTCGAAATTTTTAAAAATTTAAAGTACCAGAAAATTCTGGCCTTCATGGTTTGTCTAATCGTTCAAATAACGTTGCTAATCCGTTAAAACCATTAATCTACAAGGTCAGATTTTCTTTTCTGGTCGATAAAAATTCGAATACGAAATTGCATTTTCGTACATTCTGGTCGAATGTCACAAACTCCCCGGACAGCCCAGTCTATGACCCCATTGAGTCTCATAGTCTTCATCAAAATGGTACAGTGTCATCGAAAAGAGTTTTTGAAATGCACGCAATCACTTTGATCCATCTCATATCAACTCACTGCAGAATGTAAATGGCATCATACCACACTTTTAAAGCCTTCCAAATTCTTTCACTAATCTCCACTTCCGAGGATATACTTAAGATAAAACATCTTTTCAGACTTCCAATGTCTATGTCTCGATTTAAAATTTTTTCTTCTAGGTTTAAAAGTGTAGGAACGCAGGACAGTCCTGCCGACCCACAAACTAAAATTATCCTCTTATGCTTCTTCCCTCCGGAAATTTAGTTATTTTTGGTCCTGAATATTGAAATTAAAGAACTCGGTGGTTAGAAGAAACAATGATATAATCTCCTTCTTCAAGACATTACCCAAGCCGTTCATGTCACCACAAAGTGATCAGTTAACTTAGTTGATTGAAAACAATCATGCAGGCTGGAATATTTTAAGATATTCTCCACTCAAGCCTCTCTAAATAAGTAGTCAGAGTCTCTAAAGCCACTAACTAAAATCACAATGAAATTTAATAAATGCAAAAAATTCTTTAATTTTCAAAACTCAACTAAATGTTTTCTTTTCAGTTTCAGTTGCAAACTTAGTTGCTTTGTTTCTCATTTGAGTTTTCTGTTAAACACAAAACAATTCTGAGTTTTAATATTTTCTCTTTCGTCGATTCTTCTTATTTTCTTTTTTTTGCATGTTGTTTTTCGGCCATTTGTCAAGGTTCCATCTCCCCCTCCTGCGACATTGACTCCGCACTTTCAGTTTCTGTGTCTTGCAACACGTCGGTAGTAGCTATTCTGACGCTGTTGGAAGCAGTCGTCCAACACTTCTGCTCTTCTACTCTTTGTTTACAACAAGGTAGAGGATCAACGTTAGATTCTCCGTTTCGGCAGAAGCTGTTGTGAGGCACAACGTCACGTTTCTCTCCAAGTCTTCCTTTAACATTTCTTTTTTTTCCCATCCGTCACATTCAATTGTTCCAGAAGTTCTCTTCACGGCGGTGGTCACTGAATTGCGATGAGTTACAAAAGCTAGCTTAAAAGCTCCTGCTCCAATTTCCAGCTGATACGCACTGTACACTCTGCTGTGCTTCGACATATGCTTTTTGGCATACTCTTACAACCATGCAGTCATGATGGCTCTAAACCATGGCATCAGTCGTCCTCTTGAACCATATTTTGTTCACTTACATCGGAATATTCAAGATTTTGCACATTGTTTCAAAAAGATCTAAATCTTTTAGACAATCCAATTCCTGTAACTGTTCTCTCGTCGGCGTCTCCTGTCTATTGTTCTCCTTCACATGAGCTTCCAGCCATCGTATCGCCATCATAACTCCCACTATCACTATCGTTATGTGCTCTGATGAGTCAGGTAAAACCCATGGAGGGCAGCTCTCCACAGTCCCAGATCAACACCAGATTACTACGCCCGGGGTATCACCATGTTTGTAGCAAGCAATGGCAGGGGAAATCATCATGTGTTGACATGATGCTCCTCCAATTACGTTTTCCCGAAGCTTCCAGTAGTGGTTCTATTTGCATCATCACTCGGTGGAAATCATCATTCTCATCTACTGCATTGTAATCCGTGACTGTTGATCCTTTCTGCTTTTGTCTTTCAAAGTCACTGAAGTTCACACTGGCGTATCCCATGAATTTTTTTCCCAGTATCGATTCTAACTCCTCTTTTGTTCTCTCCGGGTTTGCTGAGAACATTTTGCTCATAAGATTTTTTTGACATTCTTGCTAGTCTTACGCATTTTGACACTGAGAAGGCTTGATCCACGATCGTTCTCGTACTCTTCAAATCCACCGCTACGAAATGCACTGGGTATCTGCTTTTTCACATTGGAGCTAATGTCGATCCCACCAAAAATCGCGCTCCCGACGGTCTACGATAAGTTTGACTATGCCGGATGTTCATTTCCGCCTCGATCGCTTCTCTCCACTTTCCAATATACTTCTGCTCGGTTTGCAACACTCCTGGAAACACTTTTAACTTTTACACTGATGGTCGTTACCACCTCATGCTTTTGTTCTAGATTCAATATTGACTCTAAAGAACCAAACATGCTGTGGAATCCTAGTGCAGATTCACCTCTGTTACTCTCAACCCGACCAGATTCATAATGTGATAAAGTATCAGTGAATTGCGACAGTTTCGATTCTAAATTGCATATCCGCTCTTCAGCGTTTTCCTCCACTGACTGTGCGCGCAGTTCCGCCTCTCGTGCTTTTTTCTGTTCTGCCAGAAGCGCCACTTTGTTAGAAGCTCTGACTTCTTGTATTTCTTTTTGCATTTCAGTTATCATTTGTGGCGTCTCGTTTGCTTTATTTTCCGAAGATTTAAGCCTAACGGCTACATCCTCTAGTTCTTTTTCCAGCGACGCTACTTTCGACTGATACTTCAGAGCCTCTGCTTTTAATGCACGTTCGTTTGACAAAGTATTTTCAAGATCAGTTATCCGCGAATGCTGCTTTGAAACCTTATGGCGTTCCTCTGCAAGCAACAATTGTAGCTCTTTCAACATTATTGAACTTGTTTCATTTTGCTCATCCAATGAGAATTGCTGCTCCCTAACTTTTGTTTTCAGTTCTTGGATTTGTTTTTCCAACTTTTCATTTAAGGAATTCATGTCTTCTAATCTATTGCTTAGTTCACTTATACTATTGTCAAATTCTTCTCTCATTGCTTTTTTATCTTTGACGAAGGCTTCTTCAAGGCGTGTTTTTTCTTTCGACAAGAGGTTAAAAGCGTTTGTGAGGGATGCTAGTCTATTAGCATTTGCATCTGGTTCGACCGAGCTGTTTTCTGATGGTTTTGGCGACATCGCTCGATCTGCGATCGAAGACTTTTCCGAGCTTGCTTCACTGGCAGCCGAGCCAGGTCGTTCTTCTGGCAATGCATCTGCTTCCTGATTAGAATTTACAGTTCTAAACAAATTCAGACTTACAAAATCAACATTTTTTTTATCTATGACTTATAGTCTATGCAATTTTGCCCCCATATGAAAAACAGAAAAGAACAAATTAAAATCTATTCATAACTCACTCTTTGTTCGGGCAGCATTTGTCCGCCGTTATTGCACCAGGCGTGGAGCTAATGACCTGCGAAAGAGCATCTCTTTCTTCGCACACCGATCTGTACGCGACAACCAAATCTTTCAATTTCTTCTCATACTTCTGCAATTTCTTCTGAAGAGATGAGACTGCGTCTTCTAATTGGGCAACGTATTCGCTTTGAGAATTACTACTACCCAACACCAGTCCCTTGAACATAATAGCTACCTGAAAAAATGACTTCGCAAGCCAAAACTTTGTTTCAAGTTTCACTGACTAATATTGTTTTTCGGTTAAACTATGACAGAGTGGTACCTTGAGAATAAGACACCTATAGCTCTCAAATCATATAGTAGTTAAAAACTCGCCATTCAGAACGATGTCAAGTATATTTTCAAACAAAGTTTATCTTTCGTTACTTCGTAAACCCCCCCCCCACTCACTATTTTAGAGTAGTAAATTCAAACAAAACGCTAAAACGAGTTTTGATGACAAATAACTTTACCCAATAACGGTTTTTTAAACTAACTTGAGGCGAGCATTTTTCTTGATATTCATTTAAACAATAGTAATTACAATTTTCTATCTATGTTTTCAAATTATTACATGCGAAACGCATGCGGGACCTTTTCTATCACATGTGCTTTTCGAGGGACCACTCTATCATAGTAGTACCTGTTTTTCTGATTCGCAGATATCATTAACTTTCCCGTTAAATTTCACAGAGGCAGAGCTGAGCTTCGCACCACTTGCGATACAAAAATGAAGGACATGAAAAACGGAAACAAAACAAATTTAAAGTCATTAAAAACTGCAAAAAAGCCCAAAACATCCATGTACCATTTAAAACTATACAAGGAGCGTTTGCATGGATAGAAAGAAGTTCAATACTCAAAAAAGTCCTTTCAGCGGAAGTAAGCCGAAAAAAATGAGATAAAAAATAATCTAAATCTGCCGAAAATTTTCAGTTTGCAAAAAAGAACAGGTCTCGACTGGAGTTAAACAGCCTGACTTTGTGGTCTCAAGCAGTAGTATAACAGCAACTTGGAAGAAAGCTGAACCTTATTTAACATTCGGGCTAGAGGAACTAAGCCGACAAAAATAAACAGACGGACGATAGTCGGAAAAAAACACAAAGATTAGTTAACAAAAAAAAACAGGTCCAAGTCGGTTTCGAACCACAAGCCTTCACCCCAGTTATGTTACCTCTGCATCTGATGCGCCGGATAGTTGATTGAATTTAAATTCATAAAAACCAAGCGGTAAGAAAACCGAAAATACCTGAGCAGAAACCCTTTTCAAGGACGAAAAAAAAGGACGAAAAAAACTTGAAACTGATAAAAAAAATTAATTCCCCTTTCCTTTCAAAACACACAAATGCACAAAAAATTGGGTCCTCAAACGACGCAAAAACAGGCCACTTAGTCGATATTCAGCAACTAATTCGATTAAGACGAAACAACAGACTAAATTTTTTAAAAAAAAATAGCGAATCGAGTCGGTAAAATTACAACGAATGTAGAAATCAAAATTCAATTCAGTCGGATTTTTACAAAACACTAAAAGCAACAACAAAGAAAACTATTTGCAGCAAAAATGAACGATTCTTAGATGTGGCAACAAAACCGACACAAAAAAGCAGACAGCTATTAGGCCGACGATTTTAGTTGAAACAGAAAACGGTGTTAATTGAAAAAAAAACTGTTCCTTTCCTATTCAATTCCATGCATGACCTGGCCATCCCAGGCGAATTAGTTACCTCTTTGCTAAGTGTGCAGTAGACGACACTAAAAAACTTGAATTCTTTATAAACCAAGGTACCAACAGGAATCCAGGTAAATCCTGTGAACTAAGTTAATAACGGGAAAAAAGTCTAGTACCTGGTTGCAATAGCCTTGCTTATTGCAGAAGGTTAAGAAAATATTGATTTTACACTTGAATTACAGCTAGTTAAATCTAGTATATTTACAAACCCAGTCCATGTTTCATTAAAATGGATTAACACATCATTTGAAGCCATATTCGATTTCACGCGTTCTTCTGCAGATTACAGGATACCTCTGACTCTTCTCTGCTGCTATTCACTGGATCAGTGTCTTTTATAACCGTAAAATCTGTCATCATGATGATAACATAACAGCAGATGCCATTGCTACACAGCAAAAACTGACGTAAGGACTCAATCGCTCGCCAATGCGAGCGAACTTCCAGAAAATACCCAACATTCCTGTTTTGTTTCTATCAATAACTGAAGGCCACAGGGAACGAATATATGTACAGGTGCATATAAGGAAAATAACAACTGTTAGTAAACTCTGAAAGTTGAAGACCGCTGACATCAGTTCTGAAACACATCGGACGGCCCCTTTCTCTTAATGCATCTCAACGCCAAGGACTGACATTACCGAAGTAAGACATCATACGCAATTGATCAATCAGATGGTCAAAAATTATCACGGTAAGCGAAATAACTTCGCCCATTGTTCATCATATAGGTGTGATTTTAAAGCACCTATATGATAATGATAAAAATCATGATAAAAATATATAGGAAATACTGATCGCCAGAGGCCAAAATAAAGCCTACAGATCAGAACCTGTGAATAAAACTATATGATAATGAAAAAACAGTATTAATGATAGAACTAATTCCGAAGAAATGCTTATTTATAGAGCCAAGGGCAGCTAAGTATAAATATCTGATAGACACGTGGCCTCATATCAGGTCAATCTTTTTGAGTTTCTTTCAACTCCAGTTTATTCAGTGCACGTGATAATTTTCTCAATCCGGTTGACTTGATTCAAAACCATCTGAATCTCTTGCCTTCTATCCACGTTATACTGTGCTCTTCCATATCTAGAAATGTTGCAGCAGAAAAGTCACATATATGTAACATTCGCCCGGAAGTACATATCGACGGAAAATAAAGCCAGGTTCTAAAGAGACTGGCTAGCGTCTGAACACAGCTCTACATGGTTTTCACCGTCTCTGCCAAAGCCATTTCTTTTGGTGGTTTTCCTAACATCGGGTCGACAAAAACGTTAATGTTTCTGGCTTCGGTCAAACCACTCAAATTAACTTAATTGTATGCAAGAATAGTGAGCTCATGGCTGGGTCTCAGTATCCCCAGACCACGAAGTCACTCGTAAGAACAGGGCTACCACTATTTATTACATTACTATTGTTTTTCTTAAGTAGATAAAAATCATCATCTCCATCGAAGATGGATCAACCCTTTCCCTCAACTCCTAGCTTCTCATTATCTGAAAATGAATCTGGATGTTAATTAAATTCAATTCAGGACATGAGCAGGAAGCTAAAAGTTTATATAAAACAGTTTGAGTCTTGGGCCCGAGACCGCTCCGGATTCTGGAATCCGGGGAAATAACGTCCATATTTCTTTTAGGAAGGCTGGACACGTCGTCCCAACGGTGCGTACCCACGGAGCCGCATTCCCGGATAGCCGAAAAAACTAAATACCTCCGGTTTTATTTAAATTAAATCAGAAAACTGTTCACTAAATTGAGGCGCCTTTTGATTGGACAAAAAACTTTGCAGCCTGTTATAGCTAACAAAATTCCGAACATTTTTAAGAGATTTCATTGGCTAATACTTTTACTCTCATTGAATTAATTAACAGCAAAAGTCCAACTATTGCAGGGATTTGACCCCTTCAACAACCAAAGCAGAGGAAATTTTAAAGGGGGGATTTTCAAAAAAGGGATTCGACCCCCCTAAATCCGCTTCAGAACCAAAGCAGGGGTGGATTTAGGGGGGGGGGGTTATGTGGGGTGGCGTTTGCTTTTCAGGATTCGAGGCGATTCGACTCCTTGCCGACATATTTGGCGCCAATATATTTATCAAAATTTTCCAAAAAGTGCCTAAAAACGCTTTTTTGGTCTGTTTTTTACAGCATTTGTCCCCCCTCGAGAAAATCCTAGATCCGCCCCTGCATTAACATTATAATCGTTTATAATTTCGGTTGGGGGCCCTTAATAGTTTTTTTGTTTGTCGGGAGGGGGGGCATGGTGGGGTAAATATGCGTAGGGGTTATGGGTAATTGGGAACAGGGGGAAGGGAGTGGGAAGGAAGGATGAACGGACTAAGCGTGTGTGTGTGTGTGTGTGGGGGGGGGGGGGGGGCGTGGTGGGTAGAGAAAAAGGGTATTCGAAATCAGAAAACAATGTTTTTAAGTAAGTTTGTAGGATCTCTTCATAATCAGCATAATCGTTACAACTCGGAGCGGTTTCTGACAATTTCCAATTCTATCTAACGTTATTTCTTCGTAGTTGCTTCCACTGCAACTATTGTTGTTCTGTCTTTCTTCTGTTTTTTCTCCAAAATGGCCTTTTCAGCATTTCTCAGAAATGTGACGTCACAATTCGAAATTTTTAAAAATTTAAAGTACCAGAAAATTCTGGCCTTCATGGTTTGTCTAATCGTTCAAATAACGTTGCTAATCCGTTAAAACCATTAATCTACAAGGTCAGATTTTCTTTTCTGGTCGATAAAAATTCGAATACGAAATTGCATTTTCGTACATTCTGGTCGAATGTCACAAACTCCCCGGACAGCCCAGTCTATGACCCCATTGAGTCTCATAGTCTTCATCAAAATGGTACAGTGTCATCGAAAAGAGTTTTTGAAATGCACGCAATCACTTTGATCCATCTCATATCAACTCACTGCAGAATGTAAATGGCATCATACCACACTTTTAAAGCCTTCCAAATTCTTTCACTAATCTCCACTTCCGAGGATATACTTAAGATAAAACATCTTTTCAGACTTCCAATGTCTATGTCTCGATTTAAAATTTTTTCTTCTAGGTTTAAAAGTGTAGGAACGCAGGACAGTCCTGCCGACCCACAAACTAAAATTATCCTCTTATGCTTCTTCCCTCCGGAAATTTAGTTATTTTTGGTCCTGAATATTGAAATTAAAGAACTCGGTGGTTAGAAGAAACAATGATATAATCTCCTTCTTCAAGACATTACCCAAGCCGTTCATGTCACCACAAAGTGATCAGTTAACTTAGTTGATTGAAAACAATCATGCAGGCTGGAATATTTTAAGATATTCTCCACTCAAGCCTCTCTAAATAAGTAGTCAGAGTCTCTAAAGCCACTAACTAAAATCACAATGAAATTTAATAAATGCAAAAAATTCTTTAATTTTCAAAACTCAACTAAATGTTTTCTTTTCAGTTTCAGTTGCAAACTTAGTTGCTTTGTTTCTCATTTGAGTTTTCTGTTAAACACAAAACAATTCTGAGTTTTAATATTTTCTCTTTCGTCGATTCTTCTTATTTTCTTTTTTTT